CTTTCTTCAGGAGGCAACTGGACTTTCTTGTTTTTTCTTTGAAGACGTTTTGCTTCTCATCCAAGAAGATTCTTCAACTCTGACAGGATAGTGGGGAATGGAAGGATTTATACTCCTTGCAGACAGCTGGTCATTTGCATCCTTTTAGAGGGTCGTTGAAGCACTTGGAGGTTTATCTGTGTCCTCAGGGTCACCTGAGTAGTGCTCCTGGTTCCTTGCATCTGTCTAAAAGGATGCAAATGACCAGCTGTCTGCAAGGAATATAAATCCTTCCATTCCCCACTTTCCTGTCGGAACTGAAGAAGCTTCTTGGATGAAAAGCTAAACATCTTCAAACAGAAAAACAAGAAAGTCCAGTTGCCCCCTTTGGGACAACCATAACCTGGATGACTGAGAATCTCTACAGACTTCTTCATATAGCATTATTTTAGTTTCAAGGTGGAGCAAATACTGGCAACTCTAAATAATAAGAGCAGTGTTTCTCAATCTTGGCAACTTTAAGATGTGTGGACATGTGGATTCCTGGCTGTGGAATTCTGGTAGTTGAAGTCCACACTTTTTAAATTTGCCAAGATTGAGAAATCCTGTAAAGGAGATTCCGCTAGAACGATCTGTTCCACATTGTCAACTCTGGGGGTCCAAAATTTCCTGGCTAACATTGTAGAAGGGATGGGCAAGGGGTCAAACACTGGACAGGCAGGACCAAAATGCTTAGCCTTATGAGTGGGATAGATGGATCGATTTGGAAGGAAATAGGTTTGTTAACCCTACTTTCTAAAAGAGGAAAAATAACCCAACACCAAATATTAGCAATATGGAGGCTTCCCGAGTTGCCAAATTAGGACTGCAGGTTGGAGGTTTCCCAAAGCTGGACATTGATGTAAACCTGACTTTCTTCTTATCACTGTATACATATAGTCCAGCCCAAAACAAGGACCACTGAAACTTGAGATATAGGTAGTTGCTAACTTATAACAGTTCATTTAGTCAATGTTCAAAAGTACAACAGCACTGAAAAAAGTGAGTTACGACTTTTTTTCACACTTATGACCATTGCAGCATCCCCATGGTCATGTGATCAAAATTCAGGCGCTTAGCAGTTGACTCATATTTATGATGGTTGTAGTGTCTCGGGGTCATGTGATCATCTTTTGTGACCTTATGACAAGCAAAATGAATGGGGAAACCATATTCACTTAACCATGTTACTAACTTAACAACTGCAGTGATTCACTTAACAACAGTAACAAGAGAAGTCATAAAATGGGGCAAAACTTACTTAACAAATGTCTTGCTTAGCAACAGGAATTTTGGGCTCAGTTGTAATTGTAAGTTGAGGACTACCTGTACTTAGGAACAAACTATACAATACATTATATACAGTATGTTATAAGATAGATTGGTTTAAGTATATAGAACCTCAGTAGATGTTGAGAAGGTGTGAGGGGCAAAGGGAAGATTATTTGTTAGATTTATGTGATAACCTCTCTTGAAAAGTGACACATGTATCCTATCATCAGGACATAAACAACACAACTTGACTTATATACATGTGTACAACATTGGAGTATAAATCTGAAAGGCTGGGGTTCACATCATGTTGTCAGGATGTCCATTTCACCTTTTTTCACTATGGCTTGTGAAAAAAGGGGTGAAATCCAGCAGGTTCTGACAGGTTCTGGAGAACTGGTAGCAGAAATTTTGAGGAGTTCAGAGAACTGGCAAATGCCACCTCTGGCTGGCCCCAGATTGAGTTGGGGATGGAGATTTTGCAATATCCTTCCCTTAGGAGTGGGGAGGAAATGGGGATTTTGCAGTATTCTTCCCCTGGAGTGGGGTGAGAATGGAGATTTTGCAGTATCCTTCCCCTGCCACGCCCACCAAGCCACACCCACCAAGCCACACCCACAGAACCTATAGTAAAAAAAATTGGATTTCACCACTGGCTTGTACCAAATACCTTTACATACCTTTTCCTAGAGTTAATAGGTGGTGATCTGATGCAGATCAAAACTGTCATGTCCAGAGAAAAGAGAATCTATTTCTTTCTTCCCTTTGTTTAAAAAAAATAAATCGCACTTCATGTCATGTTTTGCAAACACTTTCTATTTATACAAATTATATTTTTTTAAAAAATACCTGTGTCAGTGACCCTTTTTCTTTTTTTTACAAAAATGGAATCAGAAGCAAGGTTAATTTTCCATTCTACACCTGTGGTGGACCCGATCCAAGTCAAGTCAACAGGCCTTAAAATAATGTTATACCTGTTGTATGTAAACAATACATAAAATAATATGCAAACCTTTGTTACAAAACAAGCTAGAGCTCCAATAAATATTTTTTAAAAAGTAAAGTTCATTAAAAGTGAGATCATGAAAATCCTACCAGGGGCTTCTTCTCATAAAGATGGGAAGTAACAAATATGCTTTATTCTGGGGTTTTTTCCAAGGTTTTGATTAAACACAGCAAAAGAATCTTCGGATCCATAAAAATCACACAGCACAGACAAAGATCTTGTTGATCCTACAGAGCTTTGCTAGAATGATAGTATACTTTTTATTAGAAGAATTTTCTTATTGTAAATTTGTTCTCAATGAACTATTTACAAGACATGCTTCCAAAATATTATTTTACCCTGTCTCATTTTTGGACAATTTAGATGAGGTGAATTCCTTCTTATACTAAGTTATGATCTGGAAGGCTAGTCTTTTGATATCTTGAGAAAGATCTTCTGCCAATAGACCACACACCAGGGGTGGGTTCTACTTACCTTTGCAGCGGGGCCGCACATGCTTGCTTTGCTCTCTCTCTTGCACGCTCTTCTGCGCAAGGCAGAAGCTTCTGCACATGCGCAGAAGCATTTTGATGACATCGGGGTTGGTAGGCAGAGTCTCCCACTGGTTTTACTACCGGTTCTATAGAACCAGTGCGAACTGGGGGCAACTCATCACTGCCACACATTTGTATCATGGTATTACCCTTTATTCTTATCAAATAATGCCATTTCCCTTAGAAAGTATGATACTACTTGATGTTTGGTTCAATAGCAATTGTTGACATTATGTAAATATGCGTACATGCACACTCAGAGACACATTCTGAAGTGTCAATAGAGAGTGTCCTCTAAGTCTAAAATTATTCAAAGCTTTTTTTCCTCTTTTATCAAAGGCTGAAAATAACCAACGATGGCTTACAATCACGAGCAGCCTAAAGTTCTGATTTTTTTTTTAAGAAAGAAAAAATTACGTACAACAGGGAAATCAACTCTGGAACTGTTATTGAGTTCATAATCCAGACTAAGTTACCGAGTGCTGATAAGTAAAGGAAGTTCAACCAGACAGTTTAATCCTCCAATTTCCTGTCCTCTAATCAGCCACTGCCTCTAAATTAGAAACATTCCTAACAATATTCAGGACAGGTGAAGGAAGAGGACAGAAATGAAACAGAGGCAGAGATATCTAGAAATATAAGTTGATAGTACAACGAAAGAACACGATGTTTACTGGGAGAAAAACATATATTGTGTAATAGTTAACATGCATAATATAACAGTGAAAAAGTAGTTAACAGTATTAATGTTACTAAAAGATGAGACAGAATGGGCTACAAATGATAAACACTTTTGGAAGTGTTCAGAAATTTATGTTGTCCTGACTGCAAAACAAACTGTCTTTGATAAAAGTTGTGAGGCAGGCAGATGAACTATTAGATGAAAAACTGATCATATTCTCTGCCCCGATATGAATGTATTGTATTTCCTTCAGAAGACACGTTTAGTCAGTGAAGCGCAATCTGTCAAAGTTTTCTGAAGTTGTAATCTCTGGCCATTAATGGCATTCTTTCATATGAGATCGTGAAATTTATCATCTAGAATTCATATTTTAGTGATTTCTGTCTTGAGAATACATACATTTTAAAATCAGTAGTTACACACTGAGTTGCATTACAGGCCATCCTGACAATTTTAGTAACTTCCAGTGACAACAAAGAATAAATATGAGTTGCAACCAAAATGTCATTCAGGAATTAAAGGGAAGAAATTAAACGCCTGATGTTATACATATTGCTTTAGTAATTGCTTCCAGGATTAAAATTATTAGTAATTAGGAAAGAATACAGTATTAGATTCCCAGTTCTAACTTAATATTGGTGGATTCCTGTTGGCAGCTTTGTTCCCTAAATTACTGTTATATGCTGAACAGACACAGATAAAAGCATGTTGTATGTAGGTTGATAGTGAAAAGATGTCTAGGTTATAGAGTTTGCCGCTCCAAAGAATTATTTTTAAGAGCTAATCATCTGTAGACATATATGTGAAGAATTTCTTTCAAAATAGTTCTTTATTAATGACATTGACATAAATGCAACAAATACCTCCATTGTTCTCAAGGATATGAGTCAGATACAGGCTCAATCTATTACTTTTTTTTTAACACCAGTCAAACATCTGAACATTCTCAGCATCTAACTCCAAAATAATGTTTCCAAATTATTAATGTTTTCATCACCTGCGTAATAAGTATGAGTGAAACAGGACTTGAGAAGGCTATCAAAAATAGCACATGCACCTTGATTCATAACTTTTGGAAACTTATTTTAATATATTAAATACCTGTTAGATTTTATATTTTTCCCTCTTAAAAGAAAAAAAAGAGAACTTGATTTAACTTTGACATCTTTGGAGTGCCAATTCATTTTCAGAAGTTTTTAAATTAAGGATGTCATATGAGTGTTAGCCTAAATTAATACCTGTTTCACAAATGCCATGATTAAAGCATGAGGTAGACAAGGTTAGATTTCAAAAGATTTCTTGCAAATCATTACAACAAATGTAATTACTGTTAAATATACACATGTACTGAGTCTTGCTTACAGTACTAGGAAATGTCTGATGATGCTGAACATATTTACTTGGCAGTAGAGTCTCTGGAAATATTACAAATACCTTCAGGTTGTAGTTTCCTTAGATTTTTTTTTTTTTACTCCAGAGAAGAAATTAAACATCTTGACCACTCTATCTGATAAAGATAGAAAGACCAGTTTCTAATAATGGTGTCGAAGATGTGATGAGAAAGCGGGATTACAAAGTTTAAACAATTCTTTCTTAAAAACATACACAGAGAGAAGTCCAAGCACTGAAGATAATTTCAATTTTAGCTGATATCTAACTAAACAACTATCTAACTACAAACACGCTGGGGACTGTATGAAATTATGCCATGAAAAAAGAGAGAGGGAGGGCAGGAGGGAGGGAGGGAGAGAGAGAGAGAGAGAGAGAGAGAGGGAGGGAGGGAGGGAGGGAGAGAGAGAGAGAGAGAGAGAGAAAGACTCAGTCCCAGTCTAGGAGATTACTATGCCCACCCTTACAAAACAGCCATTTCTTTCATTATAATAGGTCTTTTCATCAAAATGACACAGAACCTTTAAAATTTGGACAGCATATTCTCCTACAGTAGAGACGGCAGCCACTTCAAACCGATTCTGAACCTGTTCCCTGAAATAAAACAAACTCGCTCCATTGACATACATAAATTGTTTACGACTCATTAAAAAGCAAAATTGCATATCACGCGGCTGGCAGCTGGGTCCATGCGGTGGAAAAGGGGCATTCACTCATCTCTTTGTATGCTGGCAGTACCAAACTGAAGTTTAGCAGTAGGCAGTAGCTGAGATTGTTTTGTGCAGCCAGACGATGCATGAGGTAACTTTCAAAGCTTCTTTTTTTGTCTTTGTATGTTAAAATGCACTGTGTAGCAGAGTTTTGATTAAAAGAAGTTAACAGATGCATTGAGATTTAAGGGGGAAAATATGCTTGATGTTATAGTAGAGGCATTAAAATTGCTTACTTTTGTATCAATAATTGAATCCCGGTCTGAAAACGGACCTGTCTGTTACACAAAAACTTGCATAGATGGAGTGTTTGTGTAAAAGGAAAAACATAACAGTTCTCCTTTTTTAAAAATTATTATTAGTATGTTAACTTTTAACAATGTGATTTTTTTTTATCTGTACTTTTAGGGAATAAAATTAGGTGGTATGCTAAAAGTTTAAGAACTTTCCGTAAGGCTTTATCCAAACAGTCTGTCTAGAAATAAAGCTTGTTTATTTTCTTGTCAAGTGCATTGCTTAATGTTTCCAGCCTTTTATTTTCTATGTATTATACTTAAAATGATCAAACATAAGCATCATCGTGAGGTATAACACAGTCTAGGGCATGCTTTTAAAAGAGAGGCAATCTTTTAAGATACAATATTGGGATAATTTTAAGCAGCCCCAGCTTATCAGAAGAACAAGGCAACAAATAGGTATACTGACATCTTTAACATCAAACTGTGCTGTCATGTACATATACCAAAGCAGTGTGGTTTTATGACTGTTCAACAGTCACATTTCAGAATTTATCAAGCTAAACAGTCAAATTAAAAGTCAGACTATTTCAGAGCATCCAAGAACATCCTTTCTGCATTTTCTCCTGGCAGAAAATCTAATTGGAAAATTAGTAGTTTGATTAAAGTAGTGAGACTTCCCCTCCTTTAATTAACCAACATCAGCATGTAACATATACCTGGAGACTGCCAGTTAAACTTTTTTCTAACAAGTAAAAGTTAAAACAAATATAACTCCCCCAACAACTTTTGATGCAAGCAACCAATTCCACCAAACTGAACAATGAAATCCTGAAATCCTTCCGTAGTTCACTTTTTCACGTCTTCCAAATCTGCAGGAGTCCTAAACTTCTCAGAGTGACAACAAAATTGATCTGGTAGAGAAGTTTCTCATGTGTGTGTGGGTGCATGCATGTATATATGTAAAATTTTATGTTCCCACTTACTTGATTCAGTATATCAAACAACACAATGCCACAGTCCATTTCATGATAATTCCACTCATCAGTCCTTCTTTAAAACAAAACCAGCAACAAACCGTGATATCTATGTGAACTGAATGGAAGAGGCTCATAGTCCAGTTAGGAGCACATAAAATATGCATTTTCTGGCAGTAAAAATGCTTCTCTTCACAAAATAATAATAATAAGAAGAAGACGAGCAAAATCACTTTTTGCCTTAAGAATTAAAATTACCGAAAACTTAAAAAAAAAAAGCTTTTGAAAAAGGAAAAAGAAAAGAACAAGCTAACAAATTAATCCTTAACGGACAGCACGCTAACGAGGGCAGTAATGATTTGAGGGCTCCCTTCAACACAACGGGGTTTGCATCTTTGCTACAATGAGCTATTGTGCATCCTCTTAAGTCACTGTATCTTTGCTAGACTCAAGATGTCAAAGGTTGTCTGGCCCGAATGACCATGACATGTGAGTTAACTCATTCTGAGAGTGCCTTTGGAAACTTTAATAAAACTTTTAATTGCATCTGAACGAAATTCAAGTGGGGGTCTATACAACATCCACCTTCTGAACCTAACTGGGCAGGAACCTCTTCGAACATTAACAAATAAAAGGAAACATTAGACCAGCTCCTTCTATGAGATAACATCCGTGCCATCAAATGTCCCATGCCATTAAAAAAAAAAAAAAAAAAAAAAAGCCAACAGAGCTTTTCCCTCCTAAAATTGATATGGCCTGCAATAGCTTCAATTTTGTCAACAAGTATAAAATATACGCACTCTATTTATATTTCTACCCATGCAACCACATGTTCACAGGCAGAGATAGAACGAGAATCTGCCACGCCAAAGTTCAACGAAGCATAACAGCTCAATGGGAGAAAGAGTGAAACGAAAACTTCGTCAAGCTACCTATCCAGCTAGGTTTAGCAAGAAAAGTGCAGGGAAACCAGCCTGAGTGGGGAAAAGCTGCCACTGTCTTCAAATGCAGGGCACACCAATGGTCTCTTGTTACAGAGGGGGAAAACACACACAAGTGGGACAAGTGGAAGGCTGCTCCAGTGAAGAGTGTGAAAAAAAAAATCCAAATGTTAATTTGATAAATGTGAGGTCTGGGACATTTTGTCAAAGAGGGAGGGAAAGTAGAAAAAAGGAAGGAGGGGGAAGAAAAAGGCAGCCGCGCTGCCAACTCACCATCCACCAAGTTCTGGCCGAGATGTCATAGCAGAGCTGCCATTTGATGGATCCGTCGGAGGTTTTCCCTGCCATTATGCTGTCAGCAAGCTTCATCTGATGCTAACTCACGGGAGATAAGACACCTAATTGAGAAAACACTTGCACTGGCATGTTGGGCAACATGTAGCCCGGTCCATACCATATGGAATCATGGGTAAAAAAAAAATCTCCTTGACAGTGAACCAATCTCTCACAGACCCAGTGGCAAGGTGAAATGGGGATGAAAAGTCATCTGCTTCTAGCCTTGCTGTCTTCTCCTCTCTCTCTCTCTCTCTCTCTCTTTCTCTCTCTGTCTCCCCCTCCCTCTTTTCTCTCTCTCTCTCTCTTTTTTAAAGTAAGAAGCCACCGCTTAACATCAAAGAGAGGAGGGTAAAATTAGAGTTTCATCACTCAGATGATTTTGGTTTACAAAGTTTTTCCCCTTTCGGTTTTTCTTCCTCCCCCCCCCTTAAAAAAATGGAACAGAGACTTAGTCCGACAAAGGCAGGTAGTGGACTGCAGAGGGAGATTGCCACAGGCTATTAGCCTAAAATTTCTGCTTGACAGATGGAACTGCTTAGAGACTATCATGCAATGTTTTGGACGTATGCTTTTTTTTTTCCCTCCTCCAAAAAGAAAAAAAAAAAAGGATTTCAAGACTGATTCTGTATCTGTTTATCACAGCTACTTTTCCCATGAATGTGATCAGGGAGCAGGAGGAAGAAGGGGACTAGAATGAAGGTTTCAATTTAATTTAATTTAATTTAACTTAATTTAATTTTTTTGGCATTATGTACAATTTGGTAGGTAATCATTTTAAGAAATAAAGAGGAGAATGCAGATCTGAATTACTGAGGATTGTTATTTCTTCTTAGTAATTAAAAAGGTTTTATCTTCCATAATATTAAAATATTAAAAATGTCTTATGTAAAAAAGCCTTCTTCTTCTTCTTCCTCCTCCTCCTCCTCCTCCTCCTCCTCCTCCTCCTCCTCCTCCTCCTCCTCCTCCTCCTCCTCCTCCTCTTCTTCTTCTTCTTCTTCTTCTTCTTCTTCTTCTTCTTCTTCTTCTTCTTCTTCTTCTTCTTCTTCTTCTTTATTTTTTTTACATGATTTGAATATCTAAATGCCAAATGATATATACTTTCAAATATAATCACATAATAAATAGCATGCTACAGATCTTAATTTCCATGAAATCAAATATGTTTTCTAAAGTATTGCAATAAAGGAAATCATATTTATTTCATTTGTTTATTGAAGATGACAAAGTTTGTCACTTTTGTTTGTAGGATGTTCTATAAAGACGCATTTCCTGTGCTACTAAATTATATGATCCAATTCCTAAATATTAAAAGAAGTTGTGCAGTCTTAGCAACAACATGAAATCAAAGGATAATTCTTATGGAATCTCTGGAATGCCAAGGAAAGTGTCAATTATGTAATGTATCTATATATTTTTAGCAGCCACTCAGTTATATTCCATATTTATTAGGACGTGTGTCACACAAGTTCAACATTGTTTACTTTGCAGGAAATGTGCATAATTGTACAGTTGAATGCCATTGTCATAAAGTTGCATATATGAATGATCAACATACTTTCCCTCCCTTTTAGTTGCACATTTCTCAATCAGATATAGACAGACCGGTAGATTATGTGAGAATACAATATAGAAGTAGAGACATGAAAAGCCTGAATGTCCTGTGCTGTACTCTTATTAACACAGGATTTCTCTTAATTATTTTATTAAAGGGAAATTGATTATCCTATTTTTAAGTGGCTTAATCTTTTGTTCTACTCATTAAAAAAAGGGAAGGATATGCTACCACTGTGACTTTGTGAGTAAAAATAAGCTTATATGTTTACATCCTAACAATGAATAATTGCAGAATCGTTAGTATGAAATACTATAGAAGGATTAAAAATTCAAATACTTTAGATTCTTCAAAACACATTTTCTTCTAACTCTTGAATCACATAGCATTATCAGGTGCAATTAGTTTCTAACCAGCTCTGGTAGCTCTATAGGGCTAAAGAATTTCATTTTATTTTATATTCAAAGAAATTGATGCTTTTTAGAAATGTCTTATTTCTTTTGATACAGTCAAAGATGAACACAGTTAGCTTGCATGCATATAAACATCTCTTTGTGTATAACACTGATTCATAGATATGTTTGGTGTGTATATATTCTAAAATCAGTATCGCAGGTGCCTGACATCTCATTATGCTTTGTATATTGAGTGTCAACTCCTTTTCAAGGGAATATCAAAATTGTAGTCAGAGCCAAAGAAGAAAATAAACATTAGAAAAAGATAAATATTATCACAGTGAGCCTTCTGATTGATGGATTAAACTACCTCCAAGATTCAATTCAGTTTGATTAAAACTGTTCTTTCTTCCTTAGCCTACCTGATGATCTTCAAGACTTACTTGTTAAAAGTAAAACTACTAAACAACAACCAGCATTTAAACAATATCAGATCTGATATTTGTCCTTCTCTACAGCTAACTAGCAATTGTGATTATTAAGTCAATAACTGGACCTACATTGTTTTCTTCTATTAAAATGCAGCTGAATAAAAAATGAATTGCAGTCTATATGATTACTGCCTGAGGCTGACACAGGCTTATATGATCTTATATTGACTGATAACTGTTCTATTTATTGTCTTTATGTTGTTCAACCTTCACAGATCTTTGGACCTAACACTGAAGCTACAAATTAACCACGAAAAGCCCATAAAAAACCTCAGTGACTGCTGGAGAACAAAATTCAGAATGAATATGAACTCTCTTCATTGCAAATGTACAGTAGTTGGAAGTCAAATAAAGAACCAATGCTGTTAAATAACTGTGTTTTCGATCCAGAACAATTAGGGTGCAGTTAACTTTGCCATTTTTCTCTATGATGTGGGTGGCAGTGAATCTATTCTTGTTGAGCCACGAGTCTTTTTCTAAGTGAGCTGTTACTAATAGCCTTGAAAGAAGATTAAATGCAACATGTTAAATATTACAATTATTGTGGAAAACAAAATTATTTGGTGAACATAATGGGGAGCAAATCAAGCATTTAACATGATCCAGGAAATGCTGCTCTAAACAATTGCATTTGTTTTATGCAATTTTTCCCCCTTTGATTACTGACAGATGCCGTTTTGGAAACAAACATCTAAACAGTTTTCCTTCAATCACAGAAAAGGGAAAAGGAAAATAATAAGTCCCACACATTAGAAAATGACTACATGTTTTGAATTTAACTCTTGTCAGTCACTGTTCTGCAAACATGACATGTCAATGGCTGCTATGCAAAATATTTCCATTGGAAGCTTAACCACAAAAGCCATAGTACCTTTGTTTCTTTTCTTATATTTTACATAGGGAAAAAAAGGTCAAAACTGAAATGCCATGCTTTATGGGTAATGACCCTTTAAACAATGTGTTTTGTTGTTAATCATCTGAACATCCACTGTATCCCTTCACATCCGGTGGATGATTGTGTCTTTCGGATTTATGTGGGATCACAGCACTTGTAGCACGTCTTTTTACCTAGCTGGATAGTAATAAATTAGCACACACTAACCCAAATATTATTATCAGTGAATTTTTTTGCTTGTATAGGTTAACCATTCATGGACAAGAATGGAAGAAAGATAGTGAATTGGTGTAACTCTACAAGAAGAGTAAAAAGTGTACAATAATAAAATATGTTAGGACCCATGGTTTGGTGATATGCAGTCTGTTGGTTATTAATAGCTACATTTTTAAAGAACTGTATATGTGTTGAATGTTTGATTTTAGGTTGTTAAAAGGAACCAATAGCATACATCTTGTATTTCTTTTGTTTCCAACTAAAATTTCAAAATCTGGCTGGACAAATTCTGCTGGGTCTAGGAATCACAAAAAAGCAGATTTATGTTCCCAATTCTGAAAGGGGAATCATTATCTACCCTGGCTATAGATAAATAAAGTTGCCTTTCTTATTATGGAAGATTAGAGGCAAATGTATTGCCTCTGAGTTGTAAAAGAAACTTAAGCACACTTTAGTTGCATTCTTAACCAGGCACTGAAATGTTACTAATGAAAAATAAGGCATTTGCTAGACACAATAGTGCTAGGGAATGTGCAATGCATTGAGACAATTCCTATCACAGTAACAGTATAACTGTGTAAGAGGTTTTACCCTCTCAGAATCTCACAAAGGTGACATGCAAATAAAACACAAACAACCCTATTAACAAGTTCTGATAATACCAAAAACTTATTGACTAGTTCTGCACCCTTTTCTTTTTTTTTAACCAACAATTGCCAACAAGACTCTTCTTCTTTGTCAATGACTAGGGCAAGTCTTCCCCACCACTGGTGTTAGTATTTCAGTAATTAGTAATATGTGAGAACCAATGTGATGCAGTGTTCAGAAAGTTGGATTAGAAGCAGGAAAAATCATGTCTACACTCAGCTCTAGAAACTCATTAGATGACTTTTGCTCTCAGTGCATCTACCTCAGAGGATTGTGTATTGAGAACTTTGTGTTCCTGGAGACAGGTAGAAAATAAATTATAGCAAACAAATAGCATTTGCAACTGTATTGTCTCTCAATATAGACATGACATATAACCAACTAATCTAAAAGGTACCAGAGGAAACTCCATGTATTAGCAAAGAAGCATTACTGGTGGTATTATTTTTAAGGATAATCCTACACTTTGTTGTACTTTGCAAATTATTGCTTGCATTTTATTTTTTTAAGTTCGGGTTTCTAATATATTTTTTCAGTTTGCAGGACTCTTTCATAATTCCCTAGAAGGCAAAATTTGAGGTAGAGAACAGAAATTATCTGTATGGTACTTTATCAAGGAATTTATGTTACTTCATTGTTGGAAGATGAGCGATTGGAAAATGAATGGAACATCTAAAAAGTGAGGTGACTGAAAGCAAACTGTAGTCTATTGATTAGAGTATGAAAAAAAATGGAACTGTTGAAAATCAGGAGAAGATTTCTTTCCTAAGGGAGTAAGCAACAAACAGTGTGTTACTGATAAGATTAAGAGAATAAAATTCCAAGATTGCAGGTCCAAACTTGGGCATGTATATTTTTATTTTTTATATAAATTGATCTATTTAGGGTTACACAGCATTTTCAGAAAAAAACCCCCAACTCATCTATTCAAACTGGGTCCTTGAATTTCCCATGAAAGTTCTTCATGGGAAGAACTTTGAACTTCTAAAAGGATATAGAATGCTTATTATGGCCAGGAGATACCTGACAGGAATACACATATTAATTGTCACAAATGCTTTCAATTTTAATGTACTAGATCTAGCTGTTGTTTGAGGTGTGATCTCTGGTCCATCACTCAAGGAATTTGGTCTTTGGCTCCAAAGGTTTGTGGGGGTATTTTGTACAGTTTATCATCCCACTGATGAAGCAAACTACACCTTAGTATGTCCTTTGGTCTACCTATAATTCTTTCCTGCTTCCAGTCCAACATTTTACTCTGATGGGCCTCAAAGATTGAATGAAACCCTCAAATCTGGGATCAAGGGAAGTCTACTAAGGTGGTCAAAATTGTGAAAATGATAACCACAACCACAAATTTATTACATATGTTAGACCATACAATATATGTAAAAAAAAAGGGCAGAATTTTAATAATACAGACCAGCCCACATATCCTCATGGATAGTCTTTGGACAAAATTTTCTGAACATTTGTTAGGTGAACAAATATTCACAGATTTTTCATGGAAATTATATTTTTAAAAGTCCAATTGTTTTATATGACTGAAACTCTTTTTTCTTAAAGTTATTTATCAAGCAAATAAAATGGTCTCCAGTCTTTGACCTAATTGTGACTTTATTTTATTCTGAATAATGCAGAATGCATAAAGAAATTCTATAGCATTTCATTTATGAAATAGGCATCTAGACACAAAAAGAACATTGTTGTGGTAGTGACACTTTATTGAGAAAGTATACGTGACTGTGTTTTTACTGCATACCATTAAGCATTGATTCACAACTAGGATCTGTGGACTACTGGGAATATCTACAATACTAGATATGATCACCAGTACAGGAATCAAATAATTTTGCTTTGCGTTATTGCAAAAGTTGCAGCATTGCAGATGGGAACACCAGACTCTCATAAGATCTGACAGTCTCCCAAGATTTTGGCTATTTATTAAATTTGTTGTTGTTAGTTAGATCCATCGCAACCCCATGGACAATGTTCCTCCAGGCCTTCCTGTCCTCTACCATCCTCTGGAGTCCATTTAAGTTCAATTTATTAAATTAGAATGCATTTTTTCTTTAATTTGTGGATCGTACATAAGGCAATTTAAGAGCGGCTCACATATACCATTAAGTGACCACAGATGCTGCATTGCACACTCCTGGCCTAGGTGATAATTCTCCAAAGCTTTACATTTAGCCCAGGGGGTGTCAAACTCAAGGCCTGCGGGCCAGATCTGGCCCATAGGGTGCTTAGATCTGGCCCACGTTGCTGCCCTGGAAACAGCAAAGACCTGGCCCATGGTGCCTCTGCCAAGAAAATGGAGCTCAAGAGGGCCACACGCAGCTCCCCCAGGCTCCGTTTTCAACCGCAACAGCCTCCTGTAGCCCTCTGTCAGCGAAAATGAAATCTGTTTTCACTGGCAGAAGTCTGAAGGAAGATACCTGCAGCCCCGCCTGGGCTACCATAAGTGCCCCTGACACGAGTGATGTCAACCTGGCCATGCCCACCCTGGCCATGGCCCCCCAGCTACCCGAGGTCAAACACAACCCTGATGCGACCCTCAATGAAATTGAGTTTGACACCCCTGATTTAGCATAAAGGAAAAGAATGAGAACTGATGGCAAGGATAGGCCACTAAGACCCCTTTATGACCAGTGGACTTCGACTACAGAATTCTTGAGCCAGCCAGTTCTGGGAGTTGAAGTCCACAGGTTGTAAAGGGCTTAGTTGTCCTTCCCTGATGTAAGGGGAAGTTTTAAAGTTTTGGATTTTGATTTATCTCTTTCTTCCAAATAATACTTTCTTATCTACCGATCTAGAGCTGGCTTCTCACTAGAAATTTCTGACAAACATCAAGTAGAAGGAAAGTTGGCCTGACCTCTGTGATATCAGCAGCCAAGAAGAATGGAATTCAGTAGCACTTCAAATAACAGCATGGTGAATTGGTGAATAAGTGGCAGAAAATATTGCTCCAAACATACAAATTCAGCACTGGTCCTTATAAATTCCACACACACGCACACACACACACACACACATGTATACATATCCAAGTAAGGGTATGGCTAGCTGATGAGAGTTAAATAGCTTGAAATAGATCTATACTAGTCTCCCTTTATTTCTTTAACAGCAAAATATAAATTATACACACACACACACACACACACACACATGTATGTATATATATGTATATATATGTATATATATGTGTATATATATATATATATGTATATATATATATATATATAGAGAGAGAGAGAGAGAGAGAGAGAGAGAGAAAGAGAGAGAAAGAGAGAGAGAATGAATATGAAGATTGAGGAGACCCAACAGAGTAAGCAGACAATCAAATGAAAACACACCTCTCTCCCTGTCCTATCAACCTCCTTATATAAAAAGCTTAGAAGAAAATGGTTGAGTATTTACAAATATAAAACCCTCATTTGTCATCGTTTCAGAAAAATCCAAATTCAGGAAAGTCCACTCTGAAGGATCCCTGAAATTTGGACTTTTCTGAATTACTACAAACAAACCGGGTTTGACTTTGAAGTTTGGAATTTATCAAAATCCACTGAAAAACGTCATGTTTTCCTTATTACTACATATATTTCATTAGAAGTGGTTTTCCTGTAAAAACAACAACAAGAGAGTAAATGATATCTAAGATACAGCGTTATAGACAGTAATCGAAATCAGTACATTTTTGCTTTTGTTGAGTAATCTACAATCACCTTCTGCATATTTTTCAGTTAAAGGCAAAAATTACAGCAGCTATTGCCTCA